CCCGATTCAAACGGTAATCGGTAAAGGCACATCAAACCCGTTGATGGCTGGGGGTTTGCCAAAAATCCCATAAATCTGTCATTCGAAAAAAAAATATACAGAGAAATCACAAAAGAAACGTTACATGTGAGACGGGTTTAATAATTCACATGCTAGTCCGATTTCAAACGGTAATCGGTAAAGACATTTCAAACCCGTTGATGGCTGGGGGTTTGCCAAAAATCCCATAAATCTGTCATTCGGAAGAAATACAGAGAAATCACAAAAGAAGCAAATGCAGAGTTTCTATTGATAGACTGAGTCAAAAGCATACAACAAAAGCTCGTTAGCCCGAAGGCAGCTGGCGGCTGAGAATATGAGACTTTAAGCTAAAGAGTCTATCTACATAACTCCGCTCGAGTTCTGCTTGCAGATCAGCTCGAACAGATTCTTCAGAACAGCCCAAAATCTCCGCAGCTTCAGAATGGCTTAAAATCTCCGCGGCTTCGCTCTTCAGCTTCATCAGTCTCTCCTGGGAGGATCCTAGCTTCTCGAGTGCCTGTTCCCGAGAACGCTCTAGTCCAGCCAGGTCATCTGCAATAAGGGCAGCAGATTCCTCGGCGTGCTTCAAAGCCTCCTTCAACCTAGTCACCTCCTCGCGACTCGAGTCCAAGGAGCGGAGTAGCTCAGCTCTATCCGTGTCTTTCCTCGCTACGGTAGCCATCAGCTGCGCAACGGAACTCTCATGTGACTGAAGCTCGCATCCGATGGAAGATCTCAGGTCACGCCACTGTGCCATCCTATGCTCCAACTGAGAGGACACGAAAGAAGAAGCCCCGGTGACCTCCAGCTCCTTCAACTCTCGTATCTCTGACTCCAGGGCAGCGAAATCAGCTGTGAAGGAATCGGCCAATTCCGGGTATCCTTCTTCCCTCATCATCATCATGTGGCGAGAAAAGGAACGCCGGAACTGATCAAGGCCGCCTCCTCGGTGAAGAAGTTTCTCGATCAGGCCATTATAAAAGGCGGTGAAGAAGCTGAGGTCCGTGCGAAAAGCCTCTCTGTCAGGATCAGTATCAACCAAAAGGCTACGGACACGCTCGTACAAGGAAGATCGAGATCCTACAAGCAACAACATAGAAGCTCAGCGGATTATCGAATACGATAAGGAAATTCAAAAGGCAAGTTCTGAGCATACCAACGCCAACAGACGTCCCCTCGGGTTGAGTTCCGACAGGCTCTGAGACAGCAGCAGAAGAGGGCATATCAGCCCCTGCAGGCGGATTACTCGCACCACTCGGCAAAGGCGGGGAGGCACCATTGCTATGAAGGCTTTCAGCCCTGGGAACTGTAGTGGTATCAGGCCCAACGCCCGGTCCTACAGTGACACTTCTATGTTAGGCAAAGGGAAATTTGGACAAATAAGGAGAATTGGGACAAGAAGATCGTATGCATACCTGCAACCTCCCTGTCCTCAGATGCAGCCGGAATGCCAAGAGTCATAAGAGTATCGGCCCAAGCGGCTGGTCCTATGATGGCACCCTCTTATTAGTCAAAATGAAAATTTAGACAAATAAGAAGGATTGGGATAGTAAAGTCATCTGCATACCTGTAGATCCATCATCCATAGGCATCTGAGGAATGCCAGGAGTCATATGAGAATCAGTCCTAGTGGCTGGTCCTATGGTCGCACTCATATATTAGTCAAAAGTCAGATGAACATAGAAAAGTATGATATCCCTATATCGTATGCATACCTGCGAGCCCGTCACTCCGAGGCAAGCTGGATATGCCAGGGATCAATATCGGGCTAACTCCAATGGTTGACGCTGCAATAATTAATCATTCGTTAGTCAGATAAAAGATCAGGCAAGAGGAAAGGAATCAGATATATACCGGTGGATGAATCATTCCCAAAGAATGGTCTCTCGGTTCCTCTGGAAGTCTGCTCAGCCAGCATGTCAGCTAATAAGCCGGCATCAAGCTTCGAGAAGCTTGGCCCGTCCATCACAACATCTGCAGGGTAACCTGAATGTTGAAAGATGAGGTAAGCTCGAAAAAGTACTTGCAGCAAAGACGGGAGGCCTTCCTTCCCCACGCTTGAGAAAAATAACATTGGATGTGGATATACCTGAACAAGGGATTGTGGGCTCAACATTATTCATCTGCTCAAGATCGATGTTTAGGTCGATGCCCAAAGACCCGTCGTGAAGGGCATCGCACATCTGTTGCATAAAGCAATCCATGTGGTCAACACCAGGGGACGCCGAACCCGGTGGGAGTTCGCCCTCTTCGAAGAAACCTAGAGCACAAAAACATGGTTACAAATCCCAAAAGGTAAACAACTTGAAGCAAGAGCAATTAAATGTTACCTTCCCCTCCATCGGCGGTGCTTCCTAAATCCACTCCGCAATTCGGGGCACCAACCCTCCGAGGACCAACTGGTCGGTCATGCACAGGCCTATCACACGCTTCAACGTGTGTAGGAACCGGCGGCTCACGATCATCGGCTGTCCTACCTAAAGTGACAATAGCCATTTCATTCAATGAATAAGAGCTATCATTTATGGAAAAGGAAAACAAAAGGGGCAGGACAAACCGATATCGAGATCCCCTCTGTCGGTATCTGCATCCACATATTCTTCCTCGGAGGTCTCGTCCTCATCACCCGTAGGGAGGAACTCTTCTTCGTCTGTGAGAAGAGATTTGGCTAGGGAGGAGCTCTTCCTCGACTGTGAGAGGAGATTTGGTGTGCCCTTTTCTCCGCTTCTGAGCAAGCTCAGCCCTGCGACCAGCCATCATAGCAGCCCGGACCGCGTACTCGGACTGTAACTCTGAGAGGCTCTTAACACTGAGGGATTCATAGGCGGAAAGGAACCACTTGCAGCTGAGGAAAGTGGTTAGCGGCTTACGCCTATATGAAGGGAGAGCAAAATGGGCTCCAGTGCAACCCACCATCGTCCACAGCCACGCTCGTACGCCATCAATCAATCCTCCCTCAACCTGCAGGCTACGGCTCGGATTCCCAATGTACAGTTGGTCATAGCCGAACTGGCGAGCAAAGCGGCAAGGGAGATAAGGCTCTATGTGGCATTGGTTCTTCACCCGGAGGACAAGATACCCAACGCGGATGTTCACTAGCCACCGAAAGCAACCAACGTCAAGAATGACATCAAGTCGGGACGGTGAAGACCGAGCCATGCCATCAAATATGCGTAAGGGAGCTCAACCTTCGGACAAACCAGCTCAGCTGATGGTTCAGAACCCATATGTGTGAAGCTGCTGACCAGACCCCTGAGCCCGCAATGGATGCTAGCAACCATTGCTGGGAGCAGGGAAAGCTCTCTCCCAAAGCGAGGAAAACACTTAAAGAACTCCCAACTCTTGCGGACTCGGAGCTCTCGTTGAACATCACTGAATTTGTTCCCGAGCCATTTGCTCTGCTCCAATAATTGCATGAAAGGGACGGGGATGTCAACAACGCTGGGCGCCGACATCAAATCGGGACGGTGAACAGCGAGCCACGCCATCAAATATGCGTAATCCAACCGAGAACAGACTCGGACGAATCGCGATCGAATCAAGATCAGTTTCGGACTCGAACTCAGAAGCGGATTTACTGCCAAATCAGGAATCTGACTTACTGCCAAATCAGATCATCAAATCAGAGTCTCAAGTCAACCGAAACACGGACAAACGAGACAACGCAAAAACACACTTCTTCAACCAAAGGGCAAGGTAGCCTGCTAGTAGAGTCCGGGGCCCAATGGACTTCTGTGCACGGCAGAGAAAAGAGCGAAACTTGGTCCCCGCAGGAAAAGCTCCCTCAGCATTGGCGATGGTGTAAGATTGAGCCTCAGCCTTTTCCAGCAACTCATTAATCGCAGAAGGGGTCAATATGTCTAACTCATGAATGGACTCGCCGGAGTTACCCTCCAAGTTCTGGAACAAATAGCAAGCAAACTGCTTCAAGCTGACCTGCCTCTTCCTTTTCGCTTGAGGAGAAGTGAGAGCC